GTTGGAAAAAACCTCTTTATTTAACAGGCAAAGCACTACCCAGCCCAAGATTGAGCCCAATACCAAATGATAAAACCTCTCACCGCTCTGAAGAGATGACAAAATTCAGAGGGTCTCTTTCCTGTGGATGTTTGCTCTGTTATCAATCCCTCTGGTGCTGCAAAATGCCGCTGCCCAGGCTGGGCTCCCGGTAGCTCACGGGTGCAAGCTCCCGGCGCTCCCCTGAGTCCCCAGCCCAGAGCAGGTTCAATCCGTTTCAAAGAAAAGGGAAAGAAAACAGTCCAGGAAGATCTCTCTGTTTTGGCTAGCTGGAAAAGCCAGGGCGACCTGTGCCTTGTTGTCTGTCTGTGCTGTAGTCAAAACCCCATCCCGGGATGTTGGGGGGAGCAAGTACAGTCTCTGATAACAGACTTGACGCTTCTTCTCCACTCACTTTTCCTCTTAGATGAAGTTTTAAAGCTACAAAATCTATTTCCGGGCTAGGTGGACAAATGGGGATACAATTTAACATCACATTCACCGCAGGACTCTCTACTGTTCCACTTCATCCAAATGATACCCCAAAGTTTACCTTCACAGTGCGTTCCATTAATAATGCTGCAGCAGTGGAGCATCATCAAAGGGAAGTTCTTCCTCAAGGTACGAAAACCAGCCCTACAATTTGCCAATGGTATGTTGTTCAGACAATCAGCATCAGGAAGGGAACAGTTCCCAGGGACATATAATCCATCATTATATGGACAATATTTTAATAGCCACTCTAACTCAAAAAGATTTTTCACTAATTCAGCCAAGCCTTTAATGATAATGCGCAATCCTTAAAAACATTTGGGCTGCAAGTGGCCCCAGGAGAGGTACAGCAGCAACCACCTTGGAAGTACCTTGTGCTCCAAGTTATGGATCAGAATACACAGGCTCAAGTAATTCAATTGTCGACCAAAATGAAGAATTTGAATGATGCCCAAAAACTTCTGGGTCCCATCAACAGGTTCAGAACCTATCTAGGGTTGACTGCTCCACAATTTGCAGTTAGTATTTTGCCTCCTAAAGGATGATCTGACTTCCCCCAGGAAATTAATCCCGGAAGCAAGAGCCACTCTGAAATAGTAGAGCAGACCCTCACAAAGAGACAGGTGCACCAGCTTTGCCCAGAAGTGGGTGTCACTGTGTTCATATTCACAGTTGAATTCCATCCTCCTGCAGTTATTGGACAGTGGGGTACTCAGTGGTCTGACCCTTTACATGCTTTAGAATGGATGATCTTAGCCCAGCAGCCTAAAAAGGCAGCCCCTACCATCTTGGAATGAATTGCCCAGCGAATCATGGAATGTCAAAAAAGGTGCTTACAATTGACTGCAAAAGATCCTTCAAAAATCGTGATAGCTGTCAGGCAAGAAGAATTTGCATGGTGTTCTGCCAAGAGCACAGCTTTGCCAAGTGCCTCACAAAATTTCTCAGGGCAAATCAGTGACCGTCTACCGAGTCATACGTTGCTGCAAACGAGTAGGACCACTGCAATATCCCTGAAAGTGCTGAATGCTAGAACAACCCTTTAAAGGTACTACTGTGTTCAGTGATGGCTGGGATTTACATTCATATTTATCATGAGAGGACTTGAGTATTTTGTCTCTCGGAGTCAAAAGGCACAATTAGACAAGTTCTTTTCCCCATTCTTTAGGTTTCCCACGCTTCCAAGGTTAAACCGGCCTTAGAGTGAAGTTGCAAAGTTGTAATGTTAAATTCCTAAACCACCTGCAAGCCACTTGGAGACTTTGTATCGCTGGTAATCCCACTTGACAGCTCCGGGGTGCCACTGTTGCATTGCCAATGATACAATGGGATAGGTCAGTGCCTGAAAGCAGCTAGGCCTGTGGAATTAGCTGGAAGGTCAAAGGGCCGGGTTTGTCACCCTTGTCTCCAAGGGCCCTGGAGACAGGATGACAGATGCTGCTTTTAGATTCAGCAACAAAAAGAGGGGACGTTGGGGATGTTTTGGCTGCCCTGCTCTTCCTTGCCTTTGTCTGGAAATGCAATTGCACTTTCTTCTTCAGGCAGAAGTTCCACGGCTGGGCAAAAAGCGGCCAACGGGCCATATTCCAAAGGCAGCGTAGACTGGAGTTGCTAAAGAAAGGAGTCTGTTCCTAGTTGCAAAGCGCACCAGAATAGCCACAGGAGGGACATTTCAGAAAGAATGGGCAATTCCAAAGTAAATGTGGAGCCATATTCCCAGGGAGACAAGGAAAGGAATCTTCCAACTGGCTTGAGGGTTTTAAAGATGTTTTTATTCTGGCTGTGAGCTGGCATTGGAGAAAGTAATCCTGAAGTGCACCTGGTCATCTTCTCTGCTTCCTTGATTGCTTCCCTGCAAGTTTCCTTCATTTTCATTTGCAAAGCACCTGGAGTGGAGATTTATGTGGCGGGGGCCCTTGTGATCTGTAGAAGGAATAGCAGAAGTACTAACTAAAAGTCATAAAAACAGCAGCAGTAGGAAAGCAGCCACACAGCCAATCCATTTCTCTGGAGCATTTGGTCTCCAGTGACTGGTGACAAGGCAGGAGTCTAAAGGCAATCTAGGAAGCCATCTGCTCTGATCAGGTGGCCAGACCAGCACACACACGTTGACTGGGCCATTTGCTGGGTCACAAGGGCCAGCTAAGAGACAAACCCCTCCCAGACAATCAGTGTCCAGAGAAGCTGTGCCCATTAGGAGCCCAGAGGAGTCCAAAACAACACACAAACTCTCTGTCCACACCCTTTGCCTCTTGATTGGCTCTGCTTCATACCTCTTCTTGGTAGCTTGAATGATGGCAACTTCCTGCTTCATCTGAAGCCGCTATTTCTCCTGCTCCCTCTGCACCTCTGCCAGGAAGTGTTCCCATTGCTCCAGTGTCTGCAAACGCTTTTGTTTCAGCTGTCTCTCCTGATGAGAGGAATAGAGATTTCCAGATGAAGTCCCAGCCATGCTCTACTCTCTTCCACATATCTTTATTTTCCTCATAAAAATAGTTATTGGATGAAAAAAGAGACATCCATCAGCTTGTTCCATGGATAAAGAAACAGAGATAGTTGGAACTTCATGTTCATTACAGACACACTCGGTTGTATGCACAAATATGATGAGATGAAAAAGCATAACTGGGCAGACTGGAGTTACTTGCAACTATGTGTTTCAGCAGTCTCCATATTCTAGATCAGCCTCACTTATGTGGACTTTCAGTCCTCTCCTTTTATTTTTGCTTGCCTGTAAGCTACAACTCTTTCAAATATCCTTGTGATTACAAGGCTTTTCATTTCAAAATGTAATTATTTCAAACCTCAGTTTATTTTTTTAAGATAATGCAGAGTGTAGATTCTTAGTAATTTTTGGCATGGTTAACATTAAATCAAACACCTGGGAAATATATCCTGTTTGTAGTCTGTAACAGTCTGCCAAACTGACTGCCCCTCTGCCAGAACACTTTAAAGATATGTTAAGGTTAGAGAATGTTTCTAGCTTAGCTGAAGTGAAAAAAAGCAAATTAAGATCTGAAGTGTCAATGTCTCATATAAGTAAATGATCTGGCTCCCTCTGCTGACTACAGAGAGACAAGTCAGATTTTTAAAATGAAAACTAAAAAAAAAAAAGAGAGAAAGGAGAGTTACAGAACAAAAATATGAATAAAATCCAGCAATTAAGAAACAACACAACTATATTAGGACAATAGAAGTCCACAGTTTGTAAAGATTGATTTAACCAGCACTTTTGTTAGCTGAATAATCGTTCACTCACTTTACTCATGTAAGCAAGATTTTTAAAGTTGACAGAATAATGCGAAGATGAGGAGGAGCATTTCTGGTGTGGCACATTTGGATCCAGCCTGCAACCCTTGGTAATTCAGTAAAAAGGCTTTTGTCTCAGTGAAACTGAGTCCACTGATCATGATTCTATAGCCATCTCTGTTCCCAGAGGCATTCGTTTTGGTTGTAGCAGTCACTGCTTTTCCAAACTTACACTAGGACATGAGCGCTTGAACTCTTTGTGGTGGACAATGTCACATCTTTTTTATCATCAGAGATGAGTGCATCTCTC